GACCGCGATTGGCCCATATGTTGTAGTCTTTTGGACGCTGAGTCGACTGGTTTTGGTCCGAAAAGGCTGCGATGCAGCGTTCCTCCTTTATTCCCAATCGAACATGGTTGAAGAAGCGGTCACGTGCTCCTGGGTGCCAAAATCACCTGGTCACCACGCCAGCAGGCGACAACTTTCACACCAAGGTTCAACTCGAGTGACAGGACTGCACCCGAAAAGGGTCAAAACAGGCTGTAAGTTGTACCCTGCAGGCACGGTGACCAGGTGACTGGTGTACGCACGAGCACGTGACCGCTTGTTCAACCATGTTCGATTGGGAATTAGGGGTGAACGCTGCATCGCAGCCTTTTCGGACCAAAACCAGTCGACTCAGCGTCCAAAAGACTACAACATATGGGCCAATCGCGGTCATCCGTGCTTTTATAAGAACGAAATGGCGCTTTTAGTGACATTTTGCATACAAATCCCCATCTCGTAGGGCGCAGTCACCCAGTTTCGGTGGAAGTGCGCGAGTTCGATTGGGATTCAAGTAGGAAGGGAGCGTCTCAGCTTTCTCGGACCAAGACCATTCGACTCAGCACCCCGAAGACTACAACTGGTGAAATTTTAATTTTTGCCTTAACTTCCCCTTTAACCTACATTACAGCAAGCTCTAATGTGATATGCGTGCTGTATTATTATTACAGATATGACGGGTGTGGTTTGGATCAGGGAGTCGTAAAAGCCCGGGAGAGGACACGGCACACATTCCTAGAAAACATCTTTGCCTCGCGCTGCCGGGGAACGCTGCCAGGGAACGGTGTTGCGAGGCAAGGAAATAATTATTATTAGTTTCGAAAATTGTGATGTCTTCTTGAAATACTAATTGGGACATTCTCCGATTTCTCTTAGAGCACGGAGACGATTGCTCCGTCGAGTCTTCTGATCTCTATTTTCATCCTCAATTCTTCCAGCTGCCTCACTCATTCTCTCTCAGTTTATCGAAGTTAATTTATTCTGAGGCGATGGAAATGCAAGATAAATCCCTAATTGTACTTCACTTTTATTTGAGTTGGGGTGAACGAAATGAGATTTGTGGAAAATGACGCCACTTCCCGTGTTAGCCGCTGATCATATCATACAGCCCATATTCCATTGCAGGTGATGGGCGAACGTTCGTGTTGAGATCCGCTGAGCTTCCTCGTACTCGTGGAGTTGAATTTGTGGCAGAAATTGCACTGAATTGCAGTCAAATGGTTGTGAATGAAACGAGATTTGTGGAAAATGACGCCACTTCCCGTATTAGCCGCTGGTCGTATCATACAGCCCATATTCCATTGCAGGTGATGGGCGAACGTTCGTGTTGAGATCCGCTGAGCTTCCTCGTACTCGTGGAGTTGAATTTGTGGCAGAAATTGCACTGAATTGCAGTCAAATGGTTGTGAATGAAACGAGATTTGTGGAAAATGACGCCACTTCCCGTATTAGCCGCTGGTCGTATCATACAGCCCATATTCCATTGCAGGTGATGGGCGAACGTTCGTGTTGAGATCCGCTGAGCTTCCTCGTACTCGTAGATTTATGAATTTGTGTCAGAAATTGCACTGAATTGCAGTCAAATGGTTGTGAATGAAACGAGATTTGTGGAAAATGACGCCACTTCCCGTGTTAGCCGCTGGTCGTATCATACAGCCCACATTCCATTGCAGGTGATGGGCGAACGTTCGTGTTGAGATTCGCTGAGCTTCCTCGTACTCGTGGATTGATGAATTTGTGTCAGAAATTGCACTGAAATTGCAGTCGCGTGGACTTCTGTGCGTGTGTTGTGAGTGAATCGCAACGGCTCCCTTCCTTCAGCATCGTCAAAAAGCAACATAGAGCATTATTACGCACTCGTTCCATGATTCATGATATTGCCTGGATTCTTTTAAAAACAATCAATGTGTGTTCCCTATCTATCTACATTGTACATGGTTACAGGTCGTTATTTACATGTATAAATCTTGATAATTTCAACACTTTTCTACTCGTATACTGACTATAGCCGTTTAGGAAGCGGAAGGCTCAGCCTCCAGATTGGCCAGAAAGGTTCTCAGTGAATCTAACTGAAGTCTTGGCGAGTGTAAAAGTAAAAAGTAAATTATCGTATCCGTTCCCGAAGGGAACTCACGACGGCCGCTAACACCCGATAAACCCTAGCGGCAGATGCAGCGCCTAACGGTGGGGGTGAGTGGGCAAGTCTCACAACCACTGGCACAAGTGCCGAAAAACGACCCCATTAGCTGCATCCATGTACCCCTTGTGCCTGGCCACAAGTTCCCAGTTGACTGTGGGTAGCAGCACGGCTGGAAAAACCGCTCCCAGGCAGGACTTGAACCAGGTACCTCTCGTATCTCAATCATGGTCTTTGACCAACCCACTGTGCCTGCCTGGTTGGCGAGTGTACAAAAGGTAAACCTATCATTTTGTACTTCATAACGGAATTGTGCACAAAAATGCGCACACACGCACGCACGCGCCCGTACACACACACACACACACACACACACAAACACTGTACAAACATACACAAAAGTACAAGCACATGTGCACATACACACGCCTCCCCCCCCCCCCCCCACACACACACCCACACACTCAACTCCCCACCCCCTGTACCATCTGTACTGAGTCTGACAGACCCTTTGCACAATAAGCGAGAGGGGTCGAGACGGGGCATGCTGTGCACGCGCTGCACACTTGGCATGCAACCAGCATGCATGGTTTGCTGCAGGACGTGATCAAGTTTCCTGTGACAGGCTGTGTTTTCACGGTCCAGACGCGATGTTCATGTATTGTACTTCCCAGCCTTTTTCATTTGAAGTTTTTTAGTTCTGAAGGAAGAAGTTCCGAAATGCTTTCCAAGGACCACTGTTGGGTTCTTGTTTGCAGCAACCGTCATCCCTAGTGGCTAGTCTAAGAAACCCACTTGTCTTTCCATGCATTCCCTGGTTATGCTGGCATTCCACACTCTTGAATCCTCGCTATCTGGCGAGAAGAGGGCCGCAGTTTGCTGCGACATCGTTCACAGTGTTGTGCTCGGAACACTTTGTCGATGACGACTTTCATCCTTGCTTTTTCGAAGACGCTGAACGCCCTGCCAAGAGACTCTGCCACCTGGAGCCTGAGAAAAAGGCATGACCCATCCCTGTCTTTGCAAGGAAGATCGACTGCTTGCTGGCGCTGCTCGAGCTGCTGATGTTGAAGTGCTGAGCGACGCAGCCTCATCGCTCAGGTGTGCGGAGAAAGTCATCTGAGTTCGAGCTGTGGCTGTGTGCACGATATGACAGACTTTCACATTACGCACATAGCCACCAAAGTAAAACTCATGGACACTATCCACGGGCTACTTCACTAGTGCTACTCCATCAGCTCCCTCTTCACTGTCGTCGGCGACTTGCCCCTGCGTTGGAGATGAGCACGCATGGTGTGGCACTCACTTTGGGAAACAGAAGTTCATCACTCATCCACTCGGACGCATGACAAAGTTGGGCATGATGAAGGTACACTCGAGGAAGATTGGTGCCCCTCTTAGTTCTAGGAGCATCAGGGTTCTGCATAGAGAAGCGTTCTCTACATCGACAGAGGAGAGAAGGTAGAGAAAATAAAATAAATTTCAATCTACAGTAATCCGAAATATCCACTGACTGCGGAAAACTTACCGCTCCAATAACTCCTTCTTTTTCCAGACAGATACGCACCCTCATTCAGCAGAAAACTGTTCAGTTCCTTCACAGACCATTCTTTATTTGACAGCTCCTCCACGGGTTCCACAGCCATCGATGGCAAACCACTCGACACTCTCTCCTCCATCTCCAAAATGGAAAAATACAGTGTTTCACCATGCTCAACAACTGATACTCTGCACAAAAATCGAAGAGGATGCCCCGTCTCGGATCACGTGACCGTTATTGTGCAAAGGGTCTGTTTATGCTTCCTTCGCCACCAGTTTCGGATAATGGTGTCAACAACGAGTTGTAAAATATTGGTATTTTAGGACTCCCTGCCCTAGCGCCGTGGATCGAGCAGATCCGGCCGCGCCGGCCTAGCGTGCTTCACTTTCTGGCCGAGGCAAACATCGTCCGCGTGCGCGCATCCCGTGTCCTCTCCCGGGCTTTTACGACTCCCTGGTTTGGATCAATGGCTGGTTGTGTCTGCTGCCGAGCTGCTTTGTGACACAAGGAGACAAGCACATGAATGTTTGAACACGACGAAGAAAAGAGCTGTGGACTGTCAGTGTCGCAATAACAGATACATGTACATGTGCGGTACGCTGTACATGTACTTGCTAGATCAAGTCCAATACAGTAGATATTGGTTATAACGTGCCCTTCTGATTTTTCACATTTTATCACTATAACCGGTATATCACTACAGGCGATTTTTAACTGCGCGCGTCATACATACACATTATACACGTGTGGGTACTCGATCGCGCTAATGTAGCGTACTGATACGTGATGGATGCTACTGCACCTTCTCCAGTCTAGAGTGAAGAACTTCTTGGCCCAAAGGCATCATCCAGGAAGCACCAGACCAGAATACCCTATGACAACACACATGTGGCTCCAACCAAGTCGAGACATCAATGCCTCACACTCATGTGTTGCTATCACTATAGACGATAATTTTTCTGCACAAAGAGGTGTTTTGAATGGTGCTTCTGTATCCTTATAGCCGATTTATCGCTATATACGATATATTGGTTTAATATAATGATAATTTGACTGGCTTTTTCTGGTTTTGCTTTTGATATTTTCATTTTGTATCAATATAGCCGGTTTATCACTATATCCGATGACTTTATAACCGATATCCACTGTACTTTGAGCAGAACGGATAGCTTTCACCAGCACCATCAATGCGTTGTTCAGGGCGTCATTTGCAGGAACCGTTACCAAGAGTACGTTAACACGAGCTAGCAAACGCAAAGCGTAGATAATCAGTAACTGACGCGGCTTGGCAGTCGCGGAAGGCAAACCATGGACGAGGCTGAACCAGGTCCCGATTCTGAGTCGAGTGGCGGAGGCCCTTGGCAACTAGTTTCATCTAAAAAGGAAAAACGCAAGGCGCGTAGAGATGAGTCACTGGCGCAACCAATGGCGGCTGCTCGAGGTGCCCCATCCCAGGCCCGTGATGAGGCGAGTAGAGGTGACGGGTACCTTGAAGTGCCGTTGCACAACGTCAGCAAATCCAATACCCATTCGTTTCGAACTCATTCAGTGATTGGACACTACTCCCAGGTTCGTAATGGTGATGTTTTCATGGATAAGCGCGAAGCTTGTCGCTGCAAGACGGTTCCCGACGACGGCTTAACATCGCTAGAATGGGATTTGAACAGAGGTTTTAAAGAGTTCGAATGGAGAAACAGAGACAACACGACAGCTGATGGCCTCAAACCCGTTCTGAAATGGATCTTGCACAAGCTGCGTAACCCTGGTGAAGACGAACTGAAACGGTACCCGAGGCCGAGTGCAGCGGAAGTCACCTTCGTCTTCAAACGAGCTGTGATGACTAGAATCCTAACTGCACCCTACGCAAAACGGGAGTCGACCGGTGGGTGGCGTCTTAGAGTGTGTCGCTTCCAGAATACCATCTATCTGTGCAATGATAAAATATTTGGTCGCTGGAGAGTTTACACAGAAGCAGATAAGATCAAGATCTACAGGGGCTCGGGCTTTGAAACGTACTTGACATCTCACATTCAGCCAGTGGATCCCAGCAGCTACAAGCTTGTTCGTACTGGCTGCAGAAGTGGATGGTGAATTGGATGGTCCATCACACGAATCACCACCTAGAAACTATGTGGAGTTGAAAACTTGCGACCGCAAGCATCAGCTAGGATGGAAGGAGTACTCGCGAAGTTTTCGTGCCCACCAACTGCTGAGAGCATGGGCGCAGTGCTATACTGTCGGTATTCCTAGAATCGTGTTTGGATTTCACGATAACCAAGGTATCGTGAGAAGTATCAGCACTTTCAAGACGCACGAACTGCCTGGCATGTGCAGAGACGTTTGGTCTGATGCGGTGTACCTGAACTTCGCAGACGACTTCGCCAAGTGGCTTGAGAGATGCATCGAGGAGACAGATCCTCTGCGAGAGATGTACGAAGTTACATTCGAGCCAGAACACTCTAAGATGCGGCTTCGCAGAGTTGAGATAAACGACCGTCGCCTGTCAATTCTCACTCCAGATTTCGTTGAGGAAATGAAGCTGCAGGTGGACGGTTCATGAAGGGCGGTTACCATTCGTCGAGACATAACATGGGGTAGAGGCACACGTTTTTGGAAACATATTACAGTTTTCTTGGCTCTCTTCACCCAGCTAGACTGATTGACCAGTATGGGTCTTGATCAGGGTGTAGTACATACGTATACCATTGTGCAACTCGACATAGCAAACTGTTGCGTTTTCTTTTTTGGAGATTGCTGTTGTTGTTGTTGTTGTATTACGTGTTCTGTTTCACATCAAGCAGGCAATATCTGCTCGACACGTGCTGACACCAGTAAAAGGTCGATGGGGAAGAGGAAAGATGGCGAAAAAGATCTACATCGAAATTGCAATTATGTATTCCTGATCACATCGTATGTTCGCTCTACAAGAGAGAGTGAGTGAGTGAGTGAGTGAGTGAGTGAGAGAGAGAGAGAGAGAGAGAGAGTGAGTGAGTGAGTGAGTGAGAGAGAGGGAGAGAATGAATGAATGCAGCGGTTGGCTGAGCTCGCCATGTTTCGTGAACAGTGAACTAATGCCGGACACAATTCGACCTTCCGAATCTGACACAACTGCCTTAAACGTACGGTTATTGAAACTGTTTTCCGTCTGGTCAGATCGACCAATTGTTGCCAGAGCATACCAGTATGATTTTGCATGCACGAACTGCAATGTATGTACTTGTACTTGTACGTGTATGTCTACCTGACCTGGCATGCTAAGTCGCCCAACGTCACTGTTTCAGCACCATTATGCATTTCTACTGCAATTTCTCCTTGAAATCGTCTTCTCATTTTCCAGAAATCCAGTACTGTATCTTGCTAGATCTACTTTGAAACTCTCTGCCCTCCCACTCTCTGTACTTCTTTAGTGCATTTCGAGTCTTTAACAACCAATCAATCTGAATATCTTCCATGTCAGTGATATAGTGGTTTAGTTATTATGGCAAATATTCTCCTAAGTTGTCATTAAGAACAAGATGGATCCCCCCTGGACGCCACCCTGCGTACGCGCCTGGAGCCACTGTGGTGTGGAAGGGGGCTGTGGTGTTGGAGGGAGCTGTGGTGTGGAAGGGAGCTTGGGTGTTGAAGGGAGCTGTGGTGTTCAAGGGAGCTGTGGTGTTGAAGGGAGCTGTGGTGTTGAAAGGAGCTGTGGTGTTGAAGGGAGCTGTGGTGTTGAAGGGAGCTGTGGTGTTGAAGAGAGCAGTGTTGTTGAAGGGAGCTGTGGTGTTGAAGGGAGCTGTGGTGTTGAAGGGAGCTGTGGTGTTGAAGGGAGCTGTGGTGTTGAAGGGAGCTGTGGTGTTGAAGGGAGCTGTGGTGTTGAAGGGAGCTGTGGTGTTGAAGGGAGCTGTGGTGTTGAAGTGAGCTGTGGTGTGGAAGGGAGCTGTGGTGTGGAAGGGAGCTGTGGTGTTGAAGGCAACTGTGGTGTTGAAGGGAGCTGTGGTGTTGAAGGGAGCTGTGGTGTTGAAGGGAGCTGTGGTGTTGAAGGGAGCTGTGGTGTGGAAGGGAGCTGTGGTGTTGAAGGGAGCTGTGGTGTTGAAGGGAACTGTGGTGTGGAAGGGAGCTGTGGTGTGGAAGGGAGCTGTGGTGGTGAAGAGAACTGTGGTGTGGAAGGGAGCTGTGGTGTTGAAGGGAGCTGTGGTGTTGAAGGGAGCTGTGGTGTTGAAGGGAGCTGTAGTGTTGAAGGGAACTGTGGTGTGGAAGGGAGCTGTGGTGTGGAAAGGAGCTGTGGTGTTGAAGAGAGCTGTGGTGTTGAAGAGAGCTGTGGTGTTGAAGGGAGCTGTGGTGTTGAAGGGAGCTGTGGTGTTGAAGGGAGCTGTGTTGTTGAAGGGAGCTGTGGTGTTGAAGGAAGCTGTGGTGTTGAAGGGAGCTGTGGTGTGGAAGGGAGCTGTGGTGTTGAAGGGAGCTGTGCTGCGCTGGTTCAAATACACTGTAGGGCGATCCGCAGACAGGTTCAGGCTGTCTCGGCATGTCATAATTAAGAATTTGTTTTACTATTGAACACTCACTGCATGATGAACTAAAATGAGGAGGAGAACTCGACACAATGGTACATATCCAGCAGGACGGAGTGGGTGGGACCTGTGAAGCTCAGCCGCGACCAAGGGTCTCGACATCACAGCTGCACATGTGCCATACAGGAAACAAAATGGGGAGTGGAAGGGCGGGGAGCACGAGTGCAAGAACTCTAAGGGTAGGACAGAGAGGAGGGAGGGGAGGAAACCAGGAAACTTGTTAGTTTGCGAGTTATTCCAAGATATGAGTGCAAACAAGTACGCAAACAAGTACAAAGATAGCAGTATCAAGATCATGATGCTGAGGCGAAAGTAGAGGCTGATTGCCGTGCAGTTTTGACGAAAGATTAGAGTGAGAATGGAGGAGAGTTACAGAGAGATAAGGACAGATAGATTGGGAATTTGATGAGAAGGGAGTGCTCCGAGAACATGAACAGGATCGTACTGGCAGTAGCCTGGGGGGCGATGTCCGTGGCCATTGACCAACCCGACCATTTCAGGTAGCGGTAGGTCAGAACATTGAACTGCTGCATCCCTTTGGCAGACGGTGCATCGCGGAGGAGAGTGGCTGGCAGTTCATTACAGGCTTTGATGAGGTACTCTGGGAAAGAGCGCAGCGCAACATTGCACGATCTGGCAGGTAGGATTGTCTGGAGTTGAGGCTCGTGCGCAAGGATGTCTGCCAAGCGGCGACGTGTGGCAGGCGCGATGGCGGGTGCGATGGCTCTGGTTGGGAGTGCCGCTGCAAGAGCTGGTGGACTTGTGATGTATTGGAGCCGGCCACACGGCGCCGCGGGGACAGAGTGTATGAAAATGTAACTTACTTTCCTGTATAAGATACTACAGTACAACTAGTAGGTGCAGTAAGTACAGTGTACAGTGTAGTGGCCTCAAGGTGTGCATTTTGTGCGTCTTATAATAACGCGTTCCAGACAAGACCTAGTGTTATCAGGCCATGGTCGACTTTCGAAGCTTGAACAAGTGGTTTCGATCGCTGCCAAACTCGCTTGACACTGAGGCGATACAATATGTTGACGTTTCGACGCAGTAAGCAACTAGATATTGAAACCGCGATCGGACTCAGTTTTGATGGACTCCCTACGTAGCACCAAGGTCCCCGTTCAGTCACTCACAACGCGAAGTCAGTGGCTAGAAACTGAGACAGATATTACCTGATCCTCACTCAAACTAACTCAAAGCAAAAACCTAACTACCATCATCATCGAGAAGACAAGTCTGTTCCAATCCACTAAAGAACTGAGCGTAAGTTAGATCTATACAGGGTACATGGGTACATGGGTATGGGGACAGCAGAACCGTAACTAACAATTGTGGATTATACAAGAAACCATAGGTTTTGATGTATAATCCTAATTGCATAAGGAGGTGAAGCGAAATGCACCACTGTAGTGGCCCCTTCGTTTTCTCTGCAAACCCGCTAGAAATACCAGATTTTTTAACGCCAAACACCATAACAACCACTGCCCTGGATAACCCCTGTGCCACTGCCTGCCTCCATTGGCCTTGTTTGAACTGCTCTGTAAATCCTGAGCACGCCCCAGTGGGGATGGGCCGGGAGGGACTACAGTGTTACATTTCGCTTCACCTCCTTATGCAATTAGGATTATACATCAAAACCTATGGTTTCTTGTATAATCCACAATTGCACTGCAGAGGCTCCGCTTCATGTAACACTGTAGCTATTTGTCGCAGTAACAAACCGCCCACAAGCAGCGTGAAGCGAAATGGTGACGAACAATACATCACCGCAGGCCAAGACCAGTGGAAAACAGGAATAAGTACCTGGCTAGAAAAACCACTATACATGTAGTGTCCAAGGTCAGAATACCATCCGAAATAGACCGAATGGGAGTACAGGCAAGAGAAGCCAAAAGAAAGGAAAAATGGGTTGACAACCCATCATGTCGTCATGCACGAGAACAAGACTAGATAAGAGTCCAGAAGTACATGTACAACGTGAGTACTTGCGAGTTCAAGTATTTGCAAAATCCAACTCATAGTCCAGGAACCGGACATAGCTAAGTCCGTCGAAGAACCGTGGCCGTGAACTGATCTGCCGCTGTCCGTGCAGGGCTCGCGTCCACTGGCAACAGATAGAAACGCCGAAAGGTAGATGCTGATGACCAATCGGCTTGGTGCAAGATATCCGCTAAGGATACCCCACCGGCATGCGCGGCCGATGTAGCAGCCCCACGCAACGAATGGGCTGAGAATATCGCTGTGTCCACTCCGGCCGCAGTCACACCATCCTTCATCCACCTGGCTATAGAGGACGATGTCACCGGCTTGAAAGGCTGCCGCAGGCTGAGGAAAATCTGCGGATGAGCAGTCTGACGGTGAGGAGCTGTGCGCCTGACATACTCCTGGAAGCAGCTTGATACGCACAAGTGTGGCGTGCTGTCGAAGACAGGCCACACCACGGTGGGAAGGGACGCATCCCCTCGGCAACCAGGCCGACGCTGCTTAGGCATGGAGGCATACGTCACACGGAGAGACCCATCACCCTCAGTAACATGGGAATGGAAATCCAAACGATGCAAATCAGAAGAGCGCTTGGCGCCAGTCACCGCCATGAGCAGAGCCAGCTTTATTGAAAGCAGGCGCAGAGAGAGGGTAGAATTGTCACCCAGACCACCCATCCAACCCAAGACATCGGAATCTTTCCAAGTATGGGAATACCGGGGTTGTGGAGGACGCTGTTGGAAGACGCCACGCATAAACCGAACCACCAGGGGATGTTGGCCAACTTGCGCACCATCTAAGCCTGGCAAAGTGGAGGACAGGGCAGAGCGATACACATTCAACGTGCGGTAACTTCGGCCCACGGCAAACATATCAGTTAGAAACTGCAATACTTGTGACACAGGCGGCTGAAAGGAATTAATCCGCCGTTCAGAACACCAACTGTGCCAAGCTGTCCATGCTGACGAATAGGCCGAGTTGGTGGAGTCCCGCCATGATCCCAGGATGAGGGCAATAGTGCCTGATGAAAGGCCTGCCGCCGCATAGGATCGGGAGAGATGAGCCAGCCGGCTAGTTGGAGATGACCGCCCAGCACCATGGGATGAGGTTGATCCAGCGGTGAGGTGAGGAGCGCTGGATGGCCCGGTAATAGAACTGGACATGCTACCAGAAGATGGAGCAGGAGCGGATACCATGGCTGCGCATCCCACACTGGTGCCACCAGCAACACTCTGCACCCCGGGGACTGGCGCACTTTGTGCAGAACCCTCGGCAAAGAGAGCAAAGGGTGGAAACGCATACAGGCATTGATCGGCCCATGATATGGCAAGAGCATCCACATCCAGTGCTCCGGGTTGAGGCCCCCAGGACACAAAGCTGTCCAACTGGGCATTGGTCCGTGACACAAACAGGTCGATCGCCGGCTGCACCTGGAAGTGTTGGCAAAGGCCCCGGAACATTACTGGATCGAGCATCCAGTCGCTCGAATCGACCCCCTGACGGGACGGGGCATCGGCCGGGTTCTCCGCCGACGGTATGTACTCGGCTTGAACTGTGATGCCACGTTCCAGACACCACTCCCACACCTGGCAGGCCAGCTGGGACAAGTGCGGGGCATGTGTGCCGCCCATCTTGTTGAGGTAAGCCTGGCAAGTGGTATTGTCCACAAACAGGCGAACATGAAGCGGACGGTCCAACGCCACCAGGTGGAAGGCCTGAAGTGCCAGAAACGCCGCTGTCAACTCGAGGGCATTGATGTGCATGGAACGCTCTGCCCGAGTCCACCGGCCGCCCACCTGTTGATCCCTGCACACTGCTCCCCAGTCATCGAGGGAGGCATCCGAGAACACCACCAGATTGCAGGGTGGGCGAACCAATGACTTCCCGTTCCAGTCGGACAGTCGCTCTTTCCACCACTGTAAATCCAGCCTGGCATCGGGTGTCCACTGGACGGTCGCCTCGTAAGACTGGGACTCGCGAAGAGCTAGGATCTTGAGCTCCTGCAGATGCCGGTAACGGAGCGGCGCTGTTAGCAGACCCGGAGAAAGGGATGTCAAGCGCCCCAACAGACAGGCTAACGTGCGAACAGTCACCCGTGGCTGCAGCAGAAGCTTGGTGCACTCCTGGCGAAGCTTCCGGATCTTCTCCGGAGGCACCCGCATCTCCATGGCACGAGAGTCCACTTCGAAGCCCAAGAATGAGATGTTCTGGGCAGGAGTCAACACCGACTTCTTGAAGTTGATGAGAAATCCCAGTTGATGTAACAACTGAATTGCCCGGCGCAAGTGCTCCAGTGCTTCCGCCGCCGACGATGCCATAATCAGCAGGTCGTCCAGATAGATAATCAAGCGCACGCCTTGGCTGCGCAGAATCGCCATCGGAACCTTCATGAGCTTGGTGAACACCCTTGGCGCGCTGCTCAGGCCGAAAGGCAAGCACTGAAATTGGAACAGCTGACCTGACCACCGAAATCGGAGCAGTCTCCTGAAATCGTGGTGGATTGGCACCACGAAATAAGCATCCTTCAGGTCCAATTTCACCAGCCAGTCGTCGGGCTGAAGGAGATCGGGCAGCAGCTTCAATCCTTCCATCTTGAAGTGCTCGTAGCGCACGAACCCGTTCAGCGCTTTCAAATTCACCACGGGACGTTCCTTGCCGGAATCCTTCTTTGGAATGGTGAAAATCTGGCTGACGAATTGATGAGCACACTCCTGCACTCGAGTGACGGCCCCTTTCAGCATCAATTCGTCCACTTCGAGCCGCACAGCGAGCGCTCTGTCCTCCTCCAGAGATAATTCCCTGGGCTCCGTGCTTTGTGCGGGATCGGCCACGAGATCCAGCTTCAGGCCCCGCACCGCATCCAAGACCCACGGGTCTGACGTGATTGCCGACCAGGCTTGCACAAAATGCCTCAAACGCCCAGCGACCGGAATTTGGGGGAGCGGGGGCACGAGCGGAGCGCGCGCTAGCTCGTTGTG